GAGCGCATTATCATATTCACAAATTTATTGTACCCTTTCAGAGTTTTTTCAATGAGACCTAGACAAAAACATTTCAGCCCCCAACTGGCTGCTCTTTTTAAAGATTTTTAATCCAAGCACCTCCAGCAAAAATAATATTCCTGCCTTTGCACAATTCAAGAAACAATCCAACGATACTTGTGCTTCACAGATTTTAAGGGTCGAAATTTACATTTAATTTGCTAAATGTTTAGCAACTTCTCAATTTGCTTTTTAAACCATTTTGCCAATAAAAACTGCCACATGTCAGCTCTGTTTCTGCCCAACAAGTGAGTTTTCAAAGCATGTACAGTATTAATGCATGTATGTATGTTGCTCAACAATGGTGCATTTGTGGTTTTCTGGGTGAATATTGCTTGCTGTTATTCACAATGTACAACTTTTCAAAAAAGAAAGAGAGAGAACGGAGGGGAAATGGTTGTAATTTAGCACTGTGTAATTATGAGAAATATATTCATTTGGCCTGTTCAGCGGAAGTGTTTTCTTCCAAAAAGATGATTAAATATTTAGTGGAAGAAGTTGTTTATAAATTTTGAGGTCTTCAAAATGCTATTTGCCATAATTTAATATCAAGAGAAGGAGGTGAAGGAACATTATTTAATTTATCCAGGGCTTTACAACAAAGTCTGGCTCGCTGCCAGCCAGAGTCCAGGCAGCATTCTTGAAGGGGCCCAGGATTTCCCATTGTAATACTGTTTCTTGGCAACAGTGGCATAACTCTGGGACTGCCTACAATCCTACTAATGGCTGCTTTATTTGCAAAGAATCAACTTATTAATTGGCTGAGGATTTACCATCAATATATCTGCCCAGCAGGACTTCCTACAAAAGACAGCATCTCTAAGATACCTGAGGGGGACCTCAAATACTTAAAAATATACATTGTGTCTAACAGTACAATGGAGCTGTCAATAACTCCTTAGAAGATTTATTTTCTTGCAGAGCTTGGGTGAATTTATTTTAAGTTTTTTTATCATCAGGATTTTCTGAGTCACTTGAAAATAATAATTTAGTCCCAAGGTAGTTTTTGGTGTATCGGCGTCCAAATCAGTTAAAATCATGATACTAGGTATTGAAACAGCCGAATATGTTCGTTCAATGTTTAGACAAATCAAAATTTGGGAAGGGTACTTAAGGGTTAAGGTTAGACTGGCCAGCTCTAAGACTGAGTTATCGAGAGTTCATAAAGTGTTGACTTTCGCAGCATCTTTTGAAAATAAGAAATGCAGATTTATTTTCCTGCAGAGCTTGGGTGGATTTATTTTAAGTTTTTTATCATCAGGATTTTCTGAGTCACTTGAAAATAATAATTTAGTCCCAAGGTAGTTTTTGGTGTATTGGCGTCCAAATCAGTTAAAATCATGATACTAGGTATTAAAACAGCCGAATATGTTCGTTCAATGTTTAGACAAATCAAATCTTGGGAAGGATACTTAAGGGTTAAGGTTAGACTGGCCAGCTCTAAGACTGAGTTATCGAGATTCATGAAGTGTCGACTTTCGCAGCATCTTTTGAAAATAAGAATTAGCAAAATTGCATCAATTGAACTTTGTGAAACTTTCATCAGTTAGTTCCGTTTAAATGTCATGGAAAACGGATTTAATTTTTTTTTAAAAGGGTAAACGTTTAAACACCCGACCCTTCCTGTCACGGGAAAGGTTACATCCAGACATACATGTATCCACAACAGCTAGCAGTTGGAGGCGATAATTTGGATGACTAATGTAAGTGGTCGGTTGTTCTCCTAATGTCAGTTCCTTTTTTAACCCGAAAATGCAGCTGTGCATCTCATATTGATGGGAGAAATCATGGAATGTAATGGTCAGTGATGGTTCTTTAGTACAATACATTGGTCATGTACTTAAAAAGTAAATTAAGAAAGTAGTTATCGAAGACCGGTTTTTATGAGATTAATTCATTGGCCATCCGTTATTGTTCAGACCAAGACAAAAATAAAATTAGCAAGGGAATAAAATCAGGAGAGCATTCCAAATAAAGTCTTTGAGGAGCTTTCATCTAACCGACCATCATGTATTACAATTGTTCCAGCAGATGTGGTTGTGTGTCTTCTGATTGACAGCCTGCCTCGGCATTTCTTTATCAAAACTGTGGGCTATGTGTGGCTTCTGGTCAAAACAATTAATTCTTCCCTCTGTAGCATTTTCTAGCATGTTGTTTTTAATTTTTCCCCCACCACTGCGGCATTTTTATTCGGACCACCCAACCTGCCAAAAAAAACATGTATATTAATTTTTTACTCATCAGCATTTCTTTTCCTGGCACCCAACCCGCCAAATATATTAATACTTCTGTCCTTGGCATTTCTCTGTCCAAACCTGGACCACAAGGTTTTTATTTTTTCTACACTACGGCTCTTGTTTTATTCGGAGGACCAAACCTGCCAATACTATATCAATTCTCCTCCCCCCTCAGCATTTTTTTCTATCCAAACATAGATGTGGTTTTTAATTTTTCCCGGCACTGCAGCATTTTTTATTTGGAGCACCCAACCTGCCAAAAATATTAATTTTTCCCTCCTCGGCATTTTTTTCTATCCACACCTAGACCACATGTGGTTTTTATTTTTTTCCCTGGCACCACTGCATTTTTTATTCTGAGCATCCATCCCAACCCATGAAAATAAATTAATTCTTTCCTCTTAGGCATTTATTTCCTGTCCAAACCAAGACCACGTGTGGTTTTTATTTTTTTCCTGTACCTTTGCACACTTTTTCCTTATTCCGAGCACCCAACCCATGAAAATATGTTACAGAGATGCCACTTTTCCGATTTTAATTGGAAATCTGACTTTTTGGTATTTTTTCTCCCCAAGTCCAATTTGTTTACATTTCCCATTCAATGTTTTTAATATTGACAGAATTAAAGAAGAAAGACTGGAAGCAAATCTATGATGTGCATGTATCCTGCTCCACGAAACTGAATACACATACTTAATCTTGAGTGCAGTCGTCAGTATAGAGTGCTTACTACAGTCATATTGTGGCGCGAAATACGAAGGACAGTGATGAGTGCAGTGGTGTCGTTAGTGACTGGAAATATGTTGAAATAGTGGGATCAGGTCAACTCGGACCCAAACCAACTCGGACCCATTACAACTCGGATCCACGCCAACTCGGACCCACTGAGTCTTATGGTTGCACTACACCAAATACGTGTCCATAGACCGAAATAGCGCCGACTCTTGAACCTCAAGACGAGGTTGGCCTTCATTTTTTTCACTGGAAATTCAAGATTATTTTTTTTCGTTAAAAATTCAAGATTATGGCAAGATCGATCACTTTTCGTTTCAATTTTATGAACTTTTTTATTTGCCTTTTCCCGAAGATACCTCCCTAATAGTAGTAAAACTATGCACTCAGCTCTGAATGTAGCCAACCGCCTCTATCCAAAATAGGCCTGCAATGTGGGGCTTTTTGTGAAAGACATACTCTGAACTGGAAACTATCAATCCCAAATTAGGGATTTATATAAATAATTCTATGATCCCTGGTGATTATGGCACGTCTTATTGTTAAAGAAAAAAAGTGGGATTACAAAATGTTAATAATGAGCTCGCGAGCAGACATACAACGCTTCAAAACCGTCTCCAAGTTTAAGACAATAGGAAATATTCCTCATTTTTTTTTATAATGATTTGATTTGTGTTGTTCGAACATTTGCATTATTTGGACAGTGTTTGTCCAAACAAAATAAGATGCTCAGACGAATTGTCCGACCAACATATCAATATTAGCTCTTAAAATATCAACACAATATTTGGGATTATGGTGTCCGATTTATGATTAGTTTTGTGTTAGAATTACACCCAAGACATTAATCAGGGCTGATCGCACATCACCGGCCCATGTCACCTAGCACCATGCACAGACATGAAATCGCCCTGTCACAGTGGTGAAAACGTGTGCGAAACTTTATGCATTAAACATAGCTGCTCTGGTTCCCGCTGCACCACACCCATGGAAAAGAATGCGTCATGCAAATGTAGCAATCAGTACCAGTCTGTACTGTACGTGTACTGAATGTACTGTACATAACCACTCTTAATCAGCCGTACACGTCAGGCCGAAAAGACATCAATTGCTATGTTGCAAGAAGTTTTCTGCAAGTTAATTCACAGAACGTGGTCTCTTATTTATGTATGTATTTTCTGTGTTCATAAGAAATTTACATATAAAACTGACACCGTGCGAAGTGCTGTGGATATGTTGATTTTCAGATTTTTTTGGCATAGGCTAATGGCATCTCTGATGTTAATTTTTTCCTCAGCATTTTTCTATCCAAACTTTGACCATGAGGGTTTTTTTTTTCTTGCACGACTGCACATTTTTTATTCCGAGCATCCAACCCCTCAAAATATTAATTCTAGCCTACTCAGCAGTTTTCTATTCAAAAGGGACATTTTAAGCAAGAAGGTATAGAATGTGGGAAGTCGGTACATCAAAGGGTCAGCATGAGTATTTGTAAGAGGGAGAAATAAAATCTTATTATGACCAAATACATGTACCATGAACAGTTATTTAGCCAACAGACTCAAGAACAGCTTGTATAACATGTTCTTCTCGTACGCATTTTTGTTGTGATGCTGCCGTTCTCACATGCACAGGAATGGCCAATTAACATCTCCCTGAATCACTCATGCAAGAGAACGGGCAGGAATGCGTTCCGAAGTGCCTTTTGGAACGGGGGTGAATGGGAGGGCATGCAGAACGAAAGGGAATGCGTGCGAACGTGTGCAAACGGTGTTTGTATTTTTACGGATGTGACTCTTTAATGGTTTCATTTCAACACAAACCCACACTAACTGGGTTTTGATACTATGAGTGTAGTGCTAAGAATATTTCTCCCCAGAAAAATCTGGACTGCTTTCTAAAAAAGTGCTGTAATATCCAGTATAAAAAATTTAGCAAAATACTATTTGTATCTTCTACGCATGTACGTAGGTATGCTACACCTCCACACTTTGACTATGATGATCTGGAGAGGAAATATTGGAAGAACATTACCTACAACCCACCCATCTATGCTGCTGACATCTCTGGTTCATTGTATAGTAAAGGCTGTAACATCTGGAACATCAACAAGCTGAACACATTGCTGGATGTTATTGAGGAAGAACAAGGTACACATTGATTTCTACAAAAATATTTTCCTTGTTGGCTTTGTCATCTTGTTTTGTCAAAACTTAGGAGACTGCATTAGAAAAAAAATCATGACTTAGAGCCATGCAAGAAGTGCGGGTTTTACAACCACAGAAATTCTTATCACTAGCAAGTGGAATTCACGTACGTATGTACATGTATATGCTTCCCTTTTGCAAAAGAGTTGTTCTGTAATCAAAAGTATGCCTTACTGCTGCCTTAAAAGTTCCAAAGAATGCAGTCACCATATCAAATATGCAGACAGATTTTGTGTTTGTATCCCTATTTGATTTCATCTCTGAATCAAATTTACTCTATTTACAGATCGATGGTTGAGTGAAAATGTAATTGTTTCTTACAAATGTTCATCTGAAATTGATTTATTTAAATTTTACCTTCAAGGTGTGAAAATTGAAGGAGTTAACACCGCGTATCTGTATTTTGGTATGTGGAAGACAACATTTGCCTGGCATACAGAAGACATGGATCTGTATAGTATTAACTATCTGCATTTTGGAGCTCCGAAGTCATGGTAAGTCTACCTCCAGCTTATTGTAGTATAATCTTAAAAATCATTCACCCGTACTTTTTTTAGTTTGACTAGGTAAAAACCTGCATTAACCAAAATAAAATGAAACGGTCAAAAAATATTTGGCAAGCTGCAAAGCAAATGTGAGCCTACATGTATGTTATACTGATTTTTGTACTGATTTCAATTTCATTTATCTTTTTGGGGGGGTTCGTCTTTCGTGAGTTATTGACGAGCTTTAAAGCAAATGCGAGCCTATGTGATACCAGCTTCTGTCTTTTCTGTCTGTCCGTCGGGGTGTCCGTCCATCCTCAAATGTTAAAGTTTTTCCTTACAGGGCCATACATGTAGGTGTTACAATGTGCCATTGAGTGCTTGTTTGCTTCCTCTTGGATTTCTATCAGTATGTAAATAGTGTCATATGGCATTAATGCTTTGAAGTGCAGTTTATGAATTAATGAAAAAAAATGTAAAAGTTGCATTTTAACGTTTTGAGTTGTATTTTGTAGTTACCCTGCAGTGTACATGTACGTGTATACATATATGTACCCACATGTATACATGTACATGTACTGAGCACTCCTGTAATGTATAAACAGTGTTTAGACACAAACATACATACGTGTACACTGTGTGTGGGAAAAATGTAAGGGATGGGAGGGACTTCAAGTGACAGATTAGGATATTTGTCTGGGGAGGGGTACCTGTAGCAGGAGGATCATGGGGACAAGCAGAGCTGCCAAGTGGTACGGATTTTCCGTAATTGGTACGGAAATTGATCGTGATTATGGGAGTACGGACTGCCGCCCAAAAATTACGGAAACCATCTGGCTGTCATGAATAATGTCTCGGCGCACAAACCACGTAAAACGGTTCGGTGTTGATACTCGACTCGGCCCGCGCTCAGACTGCGTGCGATGTCCCATGCTCGTGTGCGGCAGTGAAACGTGTGAAGATCGACTCCCCAGCGATCCAGACATTTTGTATATGCCACACGGTAACATGTACATATACGTAGGACTACCTGTGGCGCGCTGGTGCCCGACGACACACACACACTCACTCAAGTGTGTATTTGCCTGCAACTGGGGACTCCCTATTGTTCCTCTTTTGTTTGTACTTTAACTTCTTTAGAAGACCACCCATATGTTTTGTACACAGTCGTCAATCGGGAACCTTCTCTCAATCGGGGACCTTGTTGTTATTGTTCAGGGTCCCCAATGGAATGCAGAAACAAACTCACACACGTATACATGCAGGCACTGCAGATGGAGGGCATACTTTCCAAACTATCAGACGGAGGACTTCTCGTCCATGTGAGTGCAGCCTATAACAGCGAGGACAACACAAGTTTTTGGTTGTTTTGGCCGTTAAAAATAGGGTGCGTTATTGGCCTACTACTATAGGGTTCATCATCAATATGGTATAATGGCTCGAGAGAATGGCTGGTGTGGCGTATCATAGCTTAACTTGGCTACAACCTCATTGTGTTACGACAAAAGTCTTTGATGTTTCTCCAAGTAAGGGTCTGCAGTGCCACAGTACAAGCTGCTTCGATGTCCAGCTTGCCTTGAACTTTCCTCAACTGGAAGAATTTGCACAGGCCTTCTTGGATGTCTGTCTTCTCCGCTGTAGTCCAGGTCCCTTCTTCGTGATGCAGCAGCAACACCAAGAAGCTGTCCTATTATTGTAGAGGCAAGAAAAGGACATTAGAAATGTAGGTGACAGCCTGTCCATGTGACAGACAGACAGCCTGACAGAGTAATAGACAGCCCGACAGAGTAACTAACAGACCGACCGACCATATCTTACCGTTTTCGACGGATTCATCTTAGGAGTCTTCACTGCTGTCACTGCTGTCCCCACTGTCGCTGCTGTCCTCTTCACTGGTGAAGCCTTCTGAGAGTAAACCCCGAATTGAGATCAATCAGTTAAAGCACACATACATGCACGGGTGTCTGGCAGTCTCTGCTTGGCGTTGAGATGGGGGGGGGGGAAAATGGCCGGCCAAAATGGAACATTATTTTGGGAGTTCCATTTATGGGGGTGATTTTTGGTCCCCGTCTTTCTTTGTACTGGTCTTTTCTTCTGGGGGGGGGGGAATAGGAAGAGAGGTATTCTTTCCGGCCGAGTATGATGCCCTACAAAGTGGGAGTCTGGGTTGGGTTGGGTTGGCTTGGTTCGAAGTCAAGTGTTGGGTAGACAGAACATGGGAAACATGGTTTGAGTACAAGGTGCCCTTACCTCCAGTTACATGCAGATCGTCCAAGGATTTGCCCTGCTGGGAAGGCAGGTTGCCCCTCTCCAAACTCAGGAAAAGTCTGGACAGTTTGGTGACCCACTATACAGTATCTGGCAACTGGTAGTATTCGCGATGTACCAGCAGATCGTGGCCCATGAACTTGGCTAGAGTTTCAAGCTGATGTTCCTTTAATGCAAGAATTTGCAATGCAGTTGCTACATGTTTACGAAGTTTGGTGGAATGGATGCTGGATGCATTGTCAAGGCCAGCCTTATCTGTATATGCCCTTAAACAGTCACTCCCTCGTATGTGGCCTCTCTCGCCATAACAACACCGTGCAAACAAGAAGTTGTTGTCTTGGGCTACTCCAGCTTCATGTCTCTTGGCGAAAAGGGCATTCAACCATGCTACTGCCTCATTGCTTAGAAGCACGGGAACAGTTCTGCCTCTCTTGCTGACTATTTCAACAGCTCTTCCACAGCTGGCATTCTAAATCACTCAACAGGCATTCCCTCTCCAGTTTGGCGGTGCTGTGCTGGTGGAAATCTTCAAGTTTCATCTTTGAACCCTCCCCCTGTCTTCTTTGGTTGAACATGATGAGGTGGCACAGACTGACCTCATTTAATTTCTGCCAAACTGGCCTGATTTGTCTGCCTCGAGAACCCTGCAGGAGTTGAAGTTCCCGGTTGCCAGGTTCATGAAGGAACGACGGCAGGTGGACTACATCGGCATTTGTCGGGAGAATTGTGACTTTGTTGCATTTTCCTTGGTACAGCGTTATGTGTGCGTGTGTGGACACAAGGTCTCGCCAGTTCAATTCACACAACTGCAGAAACTCTTTTTCATGCTCTGCTTTGTGTTTTTGGCCGGACTCTAAGACACTTCCTTTTAAGACGAGTGCACACTTCTTGACGGAATAACCAATCTTCAGCGCTAGTGACGGAGCATCGTACAACTGTTTGTCTTCCCTGAAGCCGGCAATATCGTGGACGGCCTTCACAATGTCAAAAAGGTGGTACGGATGGACAAAGGATTCAAGTGATGCATTTGGCTAATTCAACAATCAACATGTCATTCTTGACTACCAAAGCCACATCATCTCTCTTCATTGGACTAAGAACCTGGTGTAACTGGAACGACACGCCAACAGGAGGAGGTTTCAACAAATCACTCTTGTGAGCGACCCGTCTACCCACACGAGCCTTCTTACCGGTGCTGTCAGTCTGTGGAGTGGGTGCTGGCTTCGAAGGGCACACGTGTCGCCACAAATCGGTAGGCATATAATAGCCGTAACAATATACGCATGGTCCATATGCATGGGGAGATACCTTGCGATTTGGCCTGTACCCGACAACGAGCACACCACAACCTTCACGAAGAACCTGACAATTGTGCCTGTGATCACCTATGTTGCAAATTTTCAACAGAAGTTTCTTAACACACTAGCGTTGGGCTCACCGGCGTTCTCGACGACTTCTCTTTCTTCCTTGTGACATGACTGGAGATGACAGGGGAGCTTGGCCTGGGGTACATCGCAGTAAAAGCAGAAGTGTTTCTTGTCCCTTTTCCTGCAGCCAACCTCATTACTGGTTTGCATTACGGTCACACCACAGTTCTCCTGGACGTCAGATGTGTCATCACTTGGAGCAACAGATGTAGTAGGCCTACTACTGGAACCGGTGGACGAATCAGCCATACTGTCCAAACGTCTCCACTTACGGTGAACAGGCCAGCTGACAAGAAAACAAATTGAACATTATTTTCATTAAACCGCTTGTCTTCTTTTAATTTGGTATGGACTGGTGGTGGTGGGGGGGGAACAGGTATCCGGGCTCCACAGAGCCACATCCACCCAAAACCCCCACCCCCAACAAAAATTTTAAACACAATCAGGCCTAGAACCACCACATACGGACAACAGAAAAGTCTTCACTTGTGGCTGGAAAAATGTGTTGAAGGAACCTGTTCAACTGGATGGCCCATGTATTTAATAATGTAGTAAACCATACCAAGATAGGGTCTGGTTATGCTCAACATTCTACTTCAAATTAAATCGCTTTTACTCACCATATTTTCCACTAAAAGACACCTACATCTCAGAACGGCTACAGAAGTCCACAGGCGTGATGGCAAGGTGACGCTATGATGCTTTTGGACAGTTTGGAGGCTTTCATATTTGTTGGGGTTATGCGTCCCCTGCACTTGGCGACGTTTATTGTGCTCACCAATGCGAATCGGACAGGGTAGCAAGAGAGCTAGGGAGGGCACTATTCCATCCAGGGATGCGCCGAAACTGTCCATTTCGAGTGGGTGTTTTTAAACACCCGGCGTGTTAAATGCGTACACCGAGGACGGCTTCCAAATGCCTTGAAATTCATAAATGCTGACTGCGGCCTCAAATTTCACCTTATTGCGAACTGAGCACGTCCTCAATTTACAATCCGACCTTGATTCGCGGCTGTGTTAATACATAGAAGAGCTCCGCCTGCACCTTTCACAAGTACACCCATACACACTCAAAATGCTGTTTTTACGTGAGACAACTGGACATGGGAAACATCAACCGATAGCACAACTCGAATGCACGGACAACTCGGCATTGCAAGGCGTAGTGTAGTATTGTGTGTGTACATTGGTGTGGGTCTGAGTTGGTATGGGTCCGAGCTATTTTTGGTCCAAATTGGTGTGATAGCCATTTCCGCAACAATCATGGATTGCATGCATGCATGTGATGTGTCATGCATGACAACACCACGCCACC